ATATTTCTGGTTGCTTTAAAGTTACAATTAATAATAGGTCTAACTAATGCAATACCCCATACTATACCACATCATAAACTCTGTATTTCTAATATTAATATTCTTCATATTAATATAAGAAATGCAGTAATCAAAAGCATAATAAGACAAATAGACACACTTAAAACAAATGAAGACATATAGGCACACAATCTTTTCCAGGATAATACATGCCGCAAATCAGCAGAACAGTGAGTACACAGGGGATTTTTTTTGTGGTTAGATGAGAGTTGTGGTTAATTGAATGCTGGATAACATAGTTTATTGTATATGTGTATTTATTTGATTTGTAAATACATTTTTGTATGCATTCAGGGTTCCATTGTTTATATTAGGAACAGTTAACCATACCAGTGGTTGTGCTTCGATCCAATTGTCTTCTTGTAGTTGGTTCATCCATCCCAAAGAAGTCTGGAGCTGCTGGTGCTATAGAATGAATAGCATGGTTAATCTGTGTCTGACTTAAGAAAAACAAGCAAAATAATTTATACAATCCAAAGGGTAATATATTTCTCATTGCATTGTTTTGAAAAAAAAGTGTTAAGATAGTGAAGTATCATTTAACTTGTTTATATTTGTAAATAGTCACCATTACTCGGGACAGTGTGTATTAGAAATTTTCACTGGTGTTTACACATTCTGTGCCAGACCCCGTTAAGTTGTTTTGGATGGCAGCATTAAGATCAACATTCCACAAATGCAGCATGCAGGGCACCTTAACCTAATGCATTGCTGTGTAAATGCTCTACTGAAAACAATGGAGCTCCTCACGCCTATTAGCTTGTACTAGAAAATGTAGCATCCGGGAAAGAAGCTGATCAAGCACATTACCATGCACGTTAGAGTGAGAGCAATCATTCTAGGGCACATTCATGGTTAACATTAAAGTGATGACCTGTAAAGGCTATTAAAATGTTGTCTATGGACAATTTAGGGTGCCAAAGTTGTCACCGTTTCACCGCAAGTGTAATTTTAAGGCTGAATTGTTTGGTATCCATTTACTCGATACAACCTCATCTTTTATATTTTACAAAAATACATTGGTAATATATTGTGTTTGTGTGCACTAGATTTAACTATAGTGTATTTGGGAAAATTTGGGTTTGATAAATAGTTGAGCTAATATCATGCAACATATGAAATTGCAACTACCACCATTTTATTCTCTAGGGTCTTGGGGGGTTAACTAATCTCTGGGGGGTTTTAACTAATTTTCAGGCCTAAAATGTGCACTTAAACATATGTGCAAAACGATACAACAATGTCTCGGAGGGGTTAATACTACATAAAACAACAAATAATTTACCATGAACTTCAGTGGTGAAGTTTGTCAGATATGAAACCAGAAGAAAAGTAGAATACGTTCTGATAAACTGTGCCAACAAAGACATCTTTGGTAAACCTAGAACATAATGATTTTCATTACCATTGACCTTGTAAAAAACTTGTAAGATTATCAATACACTCATGCAATTTAAGGAATATTAAAGGGGACCTTTACCTCCTTTCACTGAAAATCACATCAGGATGCACCTTAGCATGTTCATTTGAAATCATCTTACGTTCATCACTTAAACATATTTAGCTTTTAATTAGAATTTATTGTCTTTCCACTTCCTAGTCTTCTTAGGCATTAATGATGTAGCCCGTACCTAACAGATGCATCGTGGGAAGGTTACATCACAGTGCTTTGCTGGGAAATGTCATCTGTAATCTGCAAAGTCTTGCAAGATCTCAGAAAAAGGAATCCCACCCCCCTCCTAGTTACTGTGCCAAACCTCTAGGAAGTAAAGTGAGATGGATTGATCTGCACTTATTAAGATTGTATCTGTAAAAAATAAGTCAAGGCAACTGGACTTACTGTATTTTTCTTGCAGACGTTTTACTGGTCATCCAACTAGTTGCCTTGACTTATTTTTTACAGATATACTATGACCTGAATGAATGAGAACCTTCACGGACTTATTGAGATTAGCCACTGTGAGAAGAATGGGAAGGAAAAGACAAATAAGGTATGGAAAGAATAAAAAGTCTGCAATTACCTATAGGTATCTGTCTGTAGATTGTCATTACTAATCATTTCTAAATGTGCGTTTGTTGTCATTTAAAAATAAGTGTAAAGTTCCTCTTTAACAACAGCAAGTGCAAAAAAGACTAGAAATATACATAAATATATACCATTGTGATTAAAGAATGTGTATATTTCAGTGCAGTTTAGTTAGTAAGTCTGACATCTGAATAATCAGCTTACTGCAATTTAGTTTTCCACGTAAGTGTCTATATTTCTTACTGTCATTGTCCATATATCCTTTTCTTGCTAATTAATTTAAATCTAGTGTGCCATTCTCTAACACAACACTGGTTAGGTTCCTACGTGTAATCACAGGTTACTCACAAATGCAAGCAACCAGGGAATAGAGTCAACATTGAATTACCATTTTAATCAACCCCTGAATGGCAGCAGGCCTGGGGCACTTTAATAACAATAATAATACATTTGTATGTAAAGGAGGTGGCTGTCAAGAAGCTTTCATATTAAATTTTGAACAGCACACTTGACAATTTTCTTAAAAGTACATGTAGGGTTTTATATGAATAGGAACTACCACTACAGCAGTCCACACAGTTGCCATGGGGCCAAGTGGGGCAGTGTTAGAAGGAGAAAATCTGAACTTTTTCCCGATCCCCAATAAAGTATTTGCTGGCGTGCATTTTCCTATTAAATTTAGTACTTGTTCAGGGAAAATAAGCAAGCTATTGCCAAATGAAAGGCAAGGGAGACCAGGCACTGCAATAGAAACACGTTCCCATGTGAGAATTTAAAAACAAATATATTGTACATCAGGGAGAGGGACCTCTCATGTGGCTTCAAGGTAAACATTGAAAATACACAATTTCTTTAAAATACTGGCTTGGGAGACACCATAACCCTTTTCCAGCCACTGACATAACACTTACATAGGTGGCAGCCCAGCCTTTTAAACAAACTTCCAGCTGCTATTTCAGCCTTCAAAGGTGCCTCCCAAACTCCACCATGTTTCTCGCACTCTGCTGCTCCTCCTGCTGGCTCGGAACCAGCATGGTGGATGTTGGCAGGGAGCGCACACCCCACTCATCAATTTTCTGATCATCTCTGCACCAAACAAAACCAGAAGCGACGAGCATTTCATAACTTCCGGTTTCTGAGCTGTCATTCCCCTGCTGCTGTGACCGGCGACAAAACTGATCAAGCATAATCTGTGCTTGATCAGCTTCATTGGGGTCCACAGGTGACATTAGGTCTAATAGATTACCTAATAGCTCCTTAAAGAGAACCTGTTACATACATTGTGCTATTAAAGGTGATAGCAATAAACACGTGTTAAATTTTTTTTACAAGTTGCATAAAATAAATAGAAAACACCCCCAAAAATGTTTAAAGCCCCTAACCACGTACACCAAGGCTAACTCAGCTAGCTTCACCAGCAGTCTCCCTTGATTTCTGCTCCTCCACTGTTAAGGTGCCCATACACTGCACGATTCTCGTACGAGAATCGTGGGAAATCCTGCAATCGTACGAGAATCGTGCAGTGTGAATGAAGACGTGCGACCGTTTCTACTGTACGGTCGCACGTCTTTTGTCTAAGGAGCATGCTAGAAAACCAGCCGAGAATCGTACGATTTTCGGCTGGCTTTTAGCATGATCGTTAGATCAATGCCGCACGGGCCGGTGTGCGTACGCTCACACTGCCCGTTCAGCATTGCGGTCATCGCAAGTATGATCTGCCTGTCCAAGATGGGCAGATCGTATGTTTTTTTTATTACTTTACAACAATCGCAAGACTAAGGTCTTCTGATGGTTGTAAAGTGTATGGCCACCTTTACAGCTATGACAGAAATGGCAGCCGTTAATATAGAGGTTGCACTGAGGAGAATACTGGAGCAGGTGCAGCACAAGTTTAAGATTAAAGGGTATCAGCCATTAAATCAGCCACTATTTCCTTCAAAAAGAAACTACAGGCTTGTGAGTGTTACTACTCCTCACAGTCTAACAGACTCACAATCCTGCAGTAAGGGTAGACAACGGTGAGAACTGCTGCCAAAGGAACAAGATTGGTCTATGGAGCATTCCTGAGGCTATCATTGTCGCACTCCCAGACCTATACACCAAGAAAGAAATCCAACATCAGATCTCAAACTGGATAGATTTCACAGATCCGAGTTCTGCTGACCAAGCCACCCCACGAGATGTACTCTGAGCCCTTTTTTTTCTCAAAAAAGGTGCAGGGCTGTCAACCTTCCACATTTGTGCAGCAAACAGGGGAACATAACGGAGTTACGCCAGAACAATATTATTATATACAGGTGAAACTCGAATAATTAGAATATCGTGAAAAAGTAATGGCAGTAAGTGCTGCAAAAGGGGCCCAAACCAAGTACTGAGTACATATGCATGCTTATACTTATCAGAGGTCCGATATTGTTCTATGTACAATCCTTGTTTTATTGATTGCATGTAATAATCTACTTTTTTGAGGTTGTGGATTTGGGGTTCTTGGGGTTTTCATGAGCTGTAAGCCATAATCATCACAATTATGACAAATCACGGCTTGAACTATCTTGCTTTGCATGTAATGAGTCTATCTCATATATTAGTTTCACCTTTTAAGTTGCATTAGTGAAATAAATGAACTTTGCACGATATTCTAATTATTCGAGTTTCACCTGTAATATACCAATCCCCAGGGTTTCAACAAAACTATTAAAAAAACGGATTGTCCCCTAATTATAGAAATCCCTTACTCGGAGCTGGTTCAGTAAACAGGTAGAAAATATATAATTAATCAAAATGAATTTTTAATCGTAGAAAAACAAACTTGAACAATACATCCACAACAAAACATTTAAAATCAATTAAAAAACTTCCCTTGGGTGAACAGTTGTTAAAGAAACATAGGTGATCTGCAGGCCAACTGGTGTGGCATAAAGTAGTTAGAGCAGATACATACAATGTATTACATATGCGGATACAATGTATCCCAAGTTACTCACAGCTCATGTAGCTCAGGGAGCTCGGGGAGAAACAGTCCTGCTCGAATCCCACAGCGCTGAATGATTTTTCGCTTCAATAAGCGTATCCGGTAGTGGTGGTTGGGATCCAGAGATAGGGATATATTAGTAGGGCTAAAAAATGTAAGCGCCCTTCCCTTTCCCCCTGCTTGGGACTCTCACTAGCCCGCGGGCTTGAATTTCAAATTTGAGAGGTATCCCGAAAGCACTACAATATACATGTGCGGCCGCACAGTGAACAGCAGGAAAGGTAGATGCTGGAGTCTCCACGGTAAGAAGTTCCAGGTGCAATTATGGATCCACAGGCTGCGTGAATACTACAAACAGTCGTCCGGTCGTTTTTCCTCAATCTCTGCTGGATTGGTATAGGTTCCGATGCCGTTAGACTCAGACCATGTCCGAGCCGGCTGCGCTCCGTCTCCGCACTGACCCAGCTGGAATATGCTTTTACCGAGACTGGTATGCGGGATGAGCTTTAGTGAGTGTCCAGGGAAGTGTCACTAACTGAGAACATCAGTTCATATGTAGATCATTTCCTTAAACCTCGTGTGGAATCACTGGCTTCTTTTGTCAGAGACACTCCGCACTTGATCTCTCAGATACAGGGCTTGGTAGTACCTCCGGACACCCTACTGGTAGGCCTCGATGTAGAAGCCCTCTACTCTTCTATTCCACACTCCAAGGGGCTTAAAATGACCGAAAGATTCCTGGCCACCCTGGGGACTACAGAAAGTACGCATAATGCGCTCCTAGTGCGACTCCTGGAATTCGTCCTTACCCACAATGCCTTCCTCTTTAACCATCAATATTATTTAAAACTACAGGGAACAGCCATGGGGACGAAGTGTGCACCGTCCTATGCTAATCTTTACCTGGGGGGTTGGGAGCAGGACCTGTGGGCCAGAGAGGACTTGTCTATGTACCTGTGCCATGTGTTGTCATGGCACAGGTACATAGATGACATGCTCTTGCTGTGGACAGGGGGCGTGGAACTTCTGGGAGACTTTGTTGATATATTAAATTTCAACAAACTGAATCTAAAATTTACCTTTACCCATGACTGTAATAGGTTACCCTTTTTGGTTGTTTTAGTGTGCAAAGATGCCGAAGGGACCCTTTACACCAGTCTATATGGAAAAGCCACAGCTGGTAATGCAATCTTAGAAGCCAACAGTGCCCACCCCTCTTGTTTAAAAGACAGCATCCCCTTTGGCCACTACTAGAGATCAGACGAAATTGTACCAACGATGTGGACTTTGAAAGAGAGGCACATAACTTGAGACTCAGGCTACGGGCTCGGGGCTACTCAAATAATATATTGAAAAAGTCTTACAAATGTGTAAAAAGTG